CAGGAGGCCTCCAGAAGGCCTTTAGAAAGCCCGAAACAACTTTTGTGAGGCCCCCAGAAGCTCTCCAAGGAGGAGCCTCCGCAAAGAAGAGCTGAGGAGGATGGGGAAAATGCGCAGGGTACGGCGAAAATAAGGAAAAAGAAGCATGGAGGAAGGATAACGAATAACATTATTATAGCGGCGATGCCGGAAAAGGTAACAAGGAGTTATCTCTAAAGTCGGCTTGACCTTCCTGCTATTCCGCCTCCATACCAAACTTCAAGGACCAAGGTGCATGGCGCGAAGCGCCACTGCAGTCTTGTATGTTTGTATGTATGTATGTATGTATGTATGTATGTATGTGTGTATATATATATGTATAAATTTTCATTATTATCATTATTCTTCTTATTATTATTAGTATTAGTATCATTATTGTTATCATTATTATCATTATTATTATTACTATTATTATTATTATCATTATTGTTATTATTATTACCTGGACCCCCCCCCCCACACCAAGGGACGCCCCAGGGACGTCCCGGACGCCCTTTCGAACGTCTCGGCGGCCTTTTGGACGCCCTTGGAGAAGGTCCGATGGCCCTTCCGGGCCTCTCAGGGCACGTTGCCGGGCCGTGCAAGCAGACTCAAGGCGATCAGAGGGGCCATCGGAGCGGCGCAAGAGAGACTCAAGACAGCACAAGAGCGCTCCAAGAGGAACCTCGATGGTCTGAAGACGGCCCAAGAGGTCCCAAAACGCCTCAAAGAGAGCCCCGAAGAAGCAACAGTCGTCCCATTCCCTTAGGGAAATGTAGATGTTTAGCATATCCGCTATGTGGGTCTTCGCAGCGTTCAAGACGGCCCGATGGGCCCCCGATGTCGCCCCGAGACGGCCCAAGAGGCCCCCCAGAGGGTTCGAACACGGCCCAAGAGGGCCCCAAGATTGCTCGAGAGAACCCCGAGACTGCCCACAAGAAGCCCAAGATGCCCCCAGCAGGCTTTCAAGAGAGATCCACGAAAGCCATGGGAGACCCCCAAGACGGCCACTGGAGGCCCCCAAGAGAGCCCTGGATGGCTTCAGAAGACCTCTGGAGGGCCCCAGCTCCGCGAGACTGCCCAAGAAGGCCCTAGGACTGCCCAAGAGGGCCCCAGGACGGCCCAAAAGAGCACTAAAATGTCCAGACGGCGTTCTTCTACGAAGTACATCGAGCTGACCCGACGACCTCGGTTCCACGCTTGAGGCTCGAGGCTTAACTTCCTCGATCGAGAGAGAGGCAATGGATCTAGATTCGAAGTTCGACGAAGCGACCAACAATCGATGTGTTCAACGCCCCTTACTTCCTCAAAGGACGGGCTCAACCATCGGAGGAGGCGGAAGAGGAGTAAAAAAGGAGGAAGGGATGTGTAGGGGTAAAACTTGGAGGTGGCAGATGACAAGCCCGACGAAATTGTTCTCCCTCCCTCCTCCCATGAGGAGCGGTGCTGAAGCAAGCCATGATGTGTTGCTTTGCCGGGGAAGCGTCCGGAACAACGCGCATGGCGCGAAGCGCCAATCCAGTCTTGTATATGTATATGTACATGCATGTATACATAAATGTATATGTACATAAATGTATACATACATAGATGTATATATGTTGGCGGTGCGCCGTGGCACGAACCCCCCCCCCCCAGCATTACCGGGGGGGTCGTGCACCACCGGGGGGGTTTGCCGCTTTACCGGGGGGGGTCGTGCAGGCCGCATTGGGTCCTCCCCTGTCGCTTTACCGGGGGGGTTCGTGCAGGCCGCACTGCGTCTACCTGGGCTCCCCCCCCCCTGTGGGAGTGGGGGGGTGGGAGTGGGGGGTGGGTTGGGGGGGAGGAACGGACGTGGAGGAGGAGGAAAGGAGAGGAGGAGGAGGAGGAGGAGGAGGAGGAGGAGGAGGAGGAGGAGGAGGAGCAGGTGGACGAGCAGGAGGAGGAACTGGCATTCCTGTTGTTCGCACTGCTGGGCTCGTGGCCACAATACGAGAGGCTGCGGCGCAACTCCCAAGAGCCGCTGTGGGGGGTCGACGGCACGGCCGAGTAGAGAAGAGCAGTGCCGCCGTGTTCCGGCACGGCCCTGGGATGCAATGCCGCCGCCGTGTTCCGGCCCGTCCTGGTAAGATTCGCGCGTCGGGGCTGGGGTTCGCGCGTGCCGGGAGCGCGCCGCTTACGGAAGGGTTGCGTCCTTACCGGGGGGGTTCGTGCAGCCTACCCCTTGAGCATCCAATACACCAATATATTGCAAACACCAATATATTTGCTCTTAGCGAGAACCCATGTTCGAATATATTCGCTCGCGGCGGGCGCCAATATATTAAGTACGCTTTCCTATGTTGTGTTCGACATGATCCCTCATGGTTGCGCGACGTCACCCCTTGCTAGGGGAAGAGCTTCCTGCGACCCCTTCAAATTTAGGGGCACTTCCTTTTCGTTTACCCTTTTTTTTTCTGTAGCCATTTGCTCAAACGCGAGTGGCAGCAGGCATTGCGTTGAGATGGGGGGCGCTTCTAAGGAGAAGCCGCGCCTCTACCGCACTTGCCAGCTTGGCGATGAGGCCATGGTTGACTTGGTGAAGCAGCGCGTGTCATTGATCGAGAAGAACTACATAGATGGCACAACGGAGCAGATCATCAAAGATAACATGCCGTTCTTGTTGGATGCGTGCCAGGCGTCGCAGCGCTTGAGCTCCACAGCGCTCACGAAGGCCATCATTTCGCAGAAGACGCACCTCACGGCAGAGGGAGCGAAGCGCTGGGCCACTGAGATGAGCAGGTGCGTCAGCTACGTAGTGAACAAGTTCAGGGGCGCCGTGACCGCGGAGAAGCTGGATCACTACACGAGGACCCTCGGACAGGCGATGAACTTGGAGTGCGGTCGTACTTCTTCTGGCAAAAAGAAGGGGACGCCACGCAGTGATGACGTCGTCGAGAGCACCTCCGCGGATGACACTCGTGCCGAGAGCTCGGCCCCAGCCGCGAGTGCACCGCGCAGTCCAGCAGACGCAAGGCACAAGCTGATCAAGGAGCTATATGGGATTTCTCCACCGCCCAAGGCGAAGACCAAGAAGGACGAAGTGCACAGCCCGCTCGTCGCTTTCTCCAGCCAGGAGGTGATGGAGTCACCTGCGCGCCCTTCCGCTGCGCCTGCCGCTTCTAGCTCTGCGAAGAAGGTCACTTCTCACCTCCTCTCCATCCCTTTCTGCTGCCTGCTAATTTCTCCTGCTGTGATCACCCTCTTCTATCCGTCCAACTCATCCGTCTTCTTTATCACAGGTGACGTGGTGCGACTGGAACTCCGACCCGCCGTCCATGGTCGTTGCTGATGAGTCGGGTCAGGAGACGCGCGTGCCGCTGTCAGCAGGCGAGATGGGTTTCTCGATCGCACGCGCGCCTGGCGGGGACAAGATCGAGACAGACCAGTCCAACGCCTTGCTCGTTGCCCATGCTGAGGGGCGGAAGAAGCGGGAGGCCCAAGAGAAGGGGGCGCTGACGAAACCTGACAAACAAACAATGAAGAACAAGTGTATGAAAGCAGCCAGGAAGCGCCCTGCTGCAGCGATGAAGGGACCTCCCAGGAAGCGCCCTGCCCACGCGAAGGCTGCCAGCGAGGCTTCGGACGGAGAAGAAGGCGGCGGGCAGGAAGACGAAGAGGAGGAGGAGGAGGAGCAGCAGGACGCGGGAGGCGGTGGCGACGACGAGGCGGAGGACGAGCTAGCCGACGAAGCAGTTGGAGGCGCTGTCGACGGGCGCGATTATCACCTTGACTGGCACAAGAGGGACTACAGGGTGGGGATCAAACTGCTGCACGGGAAGAAGAATTAGCTATGCTCGTTCGGAGGCGCCGCTGCGAGGGGCAAGGTGTCGAAGGAGGAGCTGCTCGACATCGGCAGGCAGGTGTGCGAGCAGCTCAAGGAGGGCACGATTGCTGAGAGGAGGGATGTTGCGCGGGGCGCTGCGGACGCTCTGATGGAGGAGCTGATCGATGGAATTACCCTCATCCTCCCCCTCCTCATCATCATCGCGATCATCATCACCATCATCAGCACACATCGTCATCTTACGCAGCACTTCCCCTCTGTCAGGGGCTCGCCATCTCATCTCTTCACGCTATTATATAATGTTTACATCCCCTCCACCAGGGGCGTCACGAACCCCTTGTTAGGGGACGCGCCCCTTCGTTCGGGGGAACCACAGCAAGAGATTTCGATTGTTTACGTTCAGTGCAGCCGTTTGCGGCTCAAGGCGATCGAGCCCGCGAGGCTCGCGAGAAGGCCTTGTGCCGCTCTTGTGCTCGCGGCGCTCGCCGCATGGCTCTTGTGCTCGCGGCGCTCGCCGCATGGCTCGCTTCGCAGGGGGCGGAGGCCGCGAGTCTTGGAAACAAATCAGGAGGTTCGGATGTCAGGGGCGAGATGGGGATCAGGGAATTCAGAAACCAAAGTTTTCTAAGAGAAACCTTCTCCCTCCAGGAACTCCTTGGGTAGAGCCAGAGAAGAGCGAGGGCGCGCGCCAACCCTCCCCCCCCCCCATCCCTCAGGCGATGATCGCTGGCAGCGGATCTGCTCCGGGAGGCAGCGGCGGCGACCAGTGGGGCGATCCTCCGCGGAAGCGTCATCTCGATGACGCGAAGGACGCTGGGTCGGATGCAAAAGCTTACCCCTTGCTAGGGGACGCCACATCAATAGAAGATTTGTTTCGTCTCCCCCCCCTTTCCTCCCCTATAGGACGACGTGACCGCCGTCTCAGACGAGGGGGAGGAGGATGAGGCTGAGATGCTGAGGGATCTCAGGGAGAAGCGGTACACGAGGGCCTCAACAAGGCCGTTCTTGCGCACGGACAAGATCCAGCTGTGCAATAAGCGCAGCAGGCGCACGTGGGTCTTCACGTGCGTGTCGCGTTCTTGCCAGGAGCACCGCGCCTCTCGCCGGTGGACGGAGCGGGGCTTCATCTCCACAGGAGGTCGCCACTATCGCGGCCGCAAGTCGGGGGCCGAGCGCGCCAGGTGGCCCCCATGGGAACCCATTACACTGCGCGCCCACTGGAAACCTAAGTTTGACATGATAAACCTTTCTTGTCACCAGAGTTTGGCATGCAAAACTTTTCGCAGTTTTTCAATCCGAGTTTCTGTTCTTGCAGGGTTATTCTTCCTCCTCCTCCTCCTCCTCTTTCTCCTCCTCCTTCCCTTCTTCCTCTTCCTCTCCTTCCTTCTCCTCCTCTTCCTCCCCCCCCTTCTCTTCCTCCTCCTCCTCATCCTCCTCCTCCTCCTCCTCCTCCCCCCCCCTTCCCCCCCCCCTTCTCCCTCTTCACATCCGTTTCCTTTTCTCCTCCTCCTCCGCCTCCTCCCTCCTGCCTCCTCCTTTCCCCTCCTTTCTCTTCCTCCTCCTCCTCATCCTCATCCCCCCCCCCCCTCCTCCTCCTCCACCGTCTCCTCCTCCTGCCCCCCCCCCCTTCCCCCCTCCCAGGTGGCAGCGGCAGAGGATGGGCAGGAACGAGCAAGCTCTCGTGAACGCCGCCGAGGACGCGATGGGGATCAGGAAATAAAGCACCCTTGCGCTAGGGGACGCCAAAACAGCCCTACGATAAGATTCCCCTTCGCTAGGGGTGCAAACATCCCTACTTGCATTAATGATCCCTCAGCTAGGGGCATATTGTCCGCAATCCCCAGGGCGCGGCCGAGGGGGCAGGAGGGGGCGCGGAAGCAGGAGGAGGAGGCGCGGAAGCAGGAGTTGCAGGCGCGCATCCAGCGACGCAGCCTGCGACGCAGGAGGCAGGAATGCAGACCGAGACCTTCGAGGGGGCCCCGCTCAGCCCAGAGGCGGACGCAGACGACACTAGCGGCGCTGAGACGGAGGATCTCAACAAGAGAGGGCGCGACATCCTGAAGAGGCTGAGGAGGAGGAGGCGCGAGAGAACGGCTTCACGCGAGGAGATGGACAGGAGGGCTCTGCAGGAGCAGGCGCGGAGGGGCGAGGAGGCAGCCCGGCGACGCGAGGAAGCAGCTCTTCGGCGACGAGAGGGAGAGAGGAAGGAAGCAGCCAGGCAGGCGGAAGAAATGGAGATTCAAGCGAAGGCCGACGAGAGGAGGAGGAGAGCAGAGATGACGAGGCAAGTCCTGCGCGCCTTGGAGCAAGCAGAGGCGAGCGTCGCTAGCAGAGCAGCCGAAGCTTTCCAACGAATCGAGCAGGAGCGAAAAGAGGCGGAGGAGCGTGAAAAACAGATGCAAAAGGAAGAAGAGGAGGCTGCGGCGATGAGGCTGCAAGAGGAGGAATCCAGGAGCGCAACCGAAGAAAGTCGGAAGCGCAAGCAGGAAGAGGACAGGCGCCACGAGCGAGAACGCAAGAAAAAGAGAGCTGACGCCAGGCGCGGGGGAGGCGGGGGCAGTTGCGCAAGCACTGCGAGTCCGCTGGAGGTGGCGACGGCGGCTTCTATGGCCACGGCGGCTGCGGAGCAGGAGAGGGCTGACGCAGAGAGGCGGCAGAAAGAGGAGAACGACAGGAAGGCTGCAGAGGAGCGGAGACTGCCGCGAGCAGAGCAGGCCCGCACAGCAGCGGAAGAGAGGAAGAAGAAGGAAGAGGACGACGCGAGGGCAGAAGCCGAGAGGAAGCAGAAAGAGGATTCCGATCGGAAGGCGGAGGAGGAACGGAAGAAACGCGAGGAGGACCAGCGGAAGAAAGACGAGGAGGAGAAGCGGAAGAAAGACGAGGGCGCCCAGGCGAAGAAGGGCGGGGGCAAGAAAGACGGCAAGAAGGGCGGCCGCAAGGGGAACTAGGACCGCGATGCTTTTCCTTGAGAGCCGTCACCACTTCTGTAGTGGATCTGTCTCCCTCCCACACATTGCACTTGCGCACCCCCCCCCCCCCCCCTCCCAGAGGGCGACTTCCTCGTGTGCGGCGCGAAGGGGGCCTGAGACCCGCGGTGGGTTTCACATCCATATCTACGACAGTCGTTGCACGCTGGCTGCGACTGGAAGCCCGCTCAGCTGGGCCACAGAAGACACACCCGATTCTATTAAATAGAAATTCTATTTAATAGAATTGAAGGAACTATCAAGCAAAACCCACATTCTATTAAATAGAAATTCTATTTAATAGAATTTCAGAAACGAGATTGCCCGCTTTCTAGCGGCAGATTGGTTCACTTTGCGTTGCCTGATGAAACCAACACTTCCGAACAAAGACTGGTGGTTTGACCACGGGGCTTCTGACCCTACACTCTGATCAGCTTAATAGCGGCAGTGCAAATGCTTACCATTCGCTCGCAGTCCGTGATCACCCCTTGATAGGGGTATCTAGCCTAGATCTCATTGTCCTCTTGGTTCGTGCCCCTACTGTAGGGGCTTTCTGGGGGGCAGGATGAGCATGGCGGATTTATGTGGATCAGGGCGCTACGGCAAGGAAGGACCGACGAGGAAGGAGGCAGGTAGGGCCAAAGGGGGGAGGGGGCAGCATGCATCCCGCAAGTGCTTTTCGGCTCAAGGTCCGCTTGTTCTCGGCGCGCTGATTGTCATATTTACATTTGCGAGTGTTGGATCCTTGTACGGTTCGACAGCATGCCTCCCCCCGCCGCGGTTTCTTGCTTCGCGTATGTCGTGCCGATGATGATTCTTTGTTCGTCGATGGTGTGCGGGAAGAAAGGCGACGACTCTGGCCCCGCTCCTAAGATATGCAAGGCTTCTAAGGGGGAGGGGGTCGACCCGAAGGAGGCCACAAAGATGCGCAACTGGCTCAAGTACAATTCCTCGGGCACTGATGCAGATTTGCAGAAGAGAGCAGCGGAGGCGCAGGCAGTTTGGTCGAGTTGCAAGAGCCCTTCAGAGCGCAAGATGTTCTTGGAGAGCTTCCAGAAGGATAAGAGCAAGAACTTGGACTGGGTGCATACGTTTCACGAAGAATGCGAAAATGCAGAAAAACATAAGGAATGGGCCAAGAAGGGGCACGTCACAGTTCCGCAAGCTTTGAAAGAACAGAACCTTTCACTGTCAGATTTTAAGGATCATAAGCTGGCTCTCGAGTTCGTCCAGGAGTGGTGGGAGGATAATTCGCAGACGTACAATACGAAGGAGGCGTTTCCAGTGAAGTACGACAAGAAGGACCGCATATTGTGGCACGAGTTCTATTTCATTTTCCCACAGATGTCTGAGGACAGCTTGGAGACGTCTGACAAGAAAAAGTTTACGGGCGAGGGAAACGTCAAGTCGGCAAAAGCGCTGGAATGGGCAGCAGCCAGGATGGGGGAGCTGCGCAGTGGCAGCAGCAGTGCGAGCGCGAACCTAGTGAAGCTGGAGAACCCGCTGTGGCCGAACATCCAGGCGAACAAGGATTCGATCACGCCATCGCCTCAGCAATCTCTCCTCTCCCTCGTCTTCCTGCTCACTCCCCTCACAGACGCTCCCCCCCTCCCTCTTCTTGCGCTTAGGTCTACCCTGTCGAAGTACCAGG